AGTACTATGGTAGTTGGCTCTGCTAGCCTTAACAAAACGATGATTGAAGAAAAAAATGCATAATTTAGGGATTGCTTGTATATTTTGGATTCCTAAAAGATGCAATATTCATGAGTTGATATATATATTTATTCAGAAAATCCCTTTCTATATATTAATTCAAAATGTGTTGAGCCTAGGTGGCAGATACTCACGCTTCGGATGTTGACATGGCGAAAATCTATGCTTGGTGATGTTTTTATATTGTTTTTGCTCTAGAGTTAGGTTTGGTATTAGACATAAATAATTTCACATATAGTCATTAACTCAATATTCATGTTGTACATGGGTATTAGTACTAGTACTAGTACAACACCCGTGTATTACACGGGTGCTTGTTAAAAGATTATTCTTAAATTTTAAAACTAATGAGAAAGTATATTAAATTTAGTTTTCTTTTTTACAAAGAAAATATATTATTATATATTTTAGAATGATATGTGTTACTTATGACTTACATGTGTTATATTATATTAGTTTTTATAACTTATACTCCCTCTGTTTTAAATTACTTGTCGTTGTAGAAAAAAAAATTACGTGTTTGAAGAAAGTAGTTAATTTTTTCTTAACTCTCCTAAATATTAGTAGTATTTTCTCTTTCCTCCTCAATTTTGTAATTATCAATAAAGAATTTTGCGTGTAAATTTTCATCACCTAAACTCCAATTCTACTAAATGACAATTAATAAGAAAAAAGAATCATACCCTCCAACGACAATTAATAGGAAACAGAGAGAGTATCATATAACTACTTGAAATATAAATATATTAGTTGATAAATAATTTTATTTTTTTAATTAATATTAAAAATAATTTTATTATTATTATAAAGATAAATATAAATTATTTTTTTATACATACAATATGGATGTTAAATCGAAGCTCATCAAAAGAAGTTAATTTGATAATTACATATGTAAAACTGATAAAAAAATACCAAAGTTATTAAGTTTTAAAATATATATACAATTCAATAGTTATAATAAAGAATAATATTAAAATACAATTAATACATGTAACATGACCATATATAAATAATTAACATATTTATGGTAATCCGAACCTAATTATTTTTGGTTTGGAATTGAATTAAAATTTACCCAAGCCTAATAACGAAGCATGTAATTTTGCCACATAGGATTTCGAAGCACCAGAAACAGCCACGTAGGCTCAGCACGTTCTGTAATTATATATAGGGGATATAGGGGGATTTGTGTTATTTATGGACAATTAAGTTGTTATTTATATGTTTTTTTTTATTTTTTGGTGAATATTTTTATATCATAGTTGATGTCTCACTTTATATATTATATGGGAAAGTTTTGATTTGACGGTTTTTCAAGGCGTCAAATTAGGTTAAATTGCAATTTTGGTCTTAATAAATTATGAAGGTAACAATTTAGATCCTACTGAAATGAAATATAACAATTTAAATCATGTAATTGTAAAATTTTGTTGCAATTTCAACATTTTTTATTGTCAGAATTAGCTTGTCAAAAGGATTAAAATTGCAGCAAAGTTATATTTTATTGAAATTGGTCAAAATGACATTTTATTGCAACAAAATTTTAAATTTCAATTTATGGTTAAAATAACTGAAATTACAACAAAATTTTAAATTAGAACACTCAAATTGGTAATCAAAATTCATCCCAAATACATTGGTGCATGTATGTGTTGATTATTATTATTATTATATTTTTTTTTATACCGAGTTTCCAGGCTTGTGTCTGACTAATTCTCGAGGAAACAGCTCCGGCCCCTCAGAAATTGCCTTTAGTTAAATCGCGGTAGCTACGCAATGTTGTTGATTGTTTGATTTAACACCTTGAATTCATTCAGACATGTAGAAATTTTGAGCTTTTATAGGACAAAAAACTATAATAATGAAAGTCAACTATTTGCTAAAGATTTATTATTGTTTATTGCAGTTAAAGAGCTGCCAAAAGCATGTTAAAAGCCTGAACTACTGTTTTGCATCTGATCTGAATCTTCTATCGATCGAAATTACTAATGAAAAAGGTGACCGTTGATGTTAAATCAACATCCTCGTCGTACTTCGGAATATTTTGCACTTCAGCCCCTACTTTTTTCCCAAATTCCCTTCCTACCTATATAATATTTCTTTAAATGTTTTAATGTTTTTTAGCCATTTTTTTTTTATTTTTTTTTTATTTATTTTTTTTTTTGAAAACGTAATAATATCCACCATGACAGCAAGAAGGTTTGTCTAGCCATTTTATACATATTAAATATCCACCATGAAATATCAAATATAACATATTAATCATGTTTTTAATCAAGAAACACTCATAATTTTGTAGTCATTGTTGCATAACTCTAACAAATACTAATATACCAACATATTGGGTTAGACTCAAATCACTAGCTTTATCCAATTGTCAAATGCATATTGCATTTGGGAGCAAAGCCCTCTCATCTTTTTCACTCTAAATCTAAAAAAAAATTATTTTAATATATTCCTGTCTAATTGTTAGGCATGTCGATTTCTTATAATATTTTCGCAAAATATAAGTTTCTTTGTGAGGCAATCAAAATTCGAGTCAACTCGTTATACTTTGTAAGAAAATGCAAAAATGTTATACTTTTGTTCTTGTTTATTATGTCACTTATATATGAAAATAACAAAATATGTATTTTTATTTAAAAGTATAGATGTCTAACCGTTATGTTATCCAACATTAACAACACTCGTATTATTATTAAAATTATATATAGTTCTATATACATATAGGGATTGGTTCAAATGCGGCTGGTTTCTCAAAGTGAGGACATGAAACTCATTTTTAGCCACAATATTTGGTACATAATATGTGACCAAGATTTAATCTTTTTTTTATTATTTTAATTATTTAAATATTATTTTGACACGTTGGCTCCAGCATGGCGAAATCCGTTGACTTCTGGCGTTGACTCCGGTGTTGACCGTTGACAACTAACCTTCCAACTATGTTAGTTCCCTGTAGTTGCTAGGTTAGTTTTCTGTAGTTGCTATGTTAGTTCTCTGTAGTTGCTAAGTTAGTTCTTTGTAGTTGTTGCTAAGTTAGTTCTTTGTAGTTGCTAGGTTAGTTGTATGTAGTTGTTAGGTTAGTTCTCTCTAGTTGCTAGGTTAATTCTCTTTAGTTGCTAGGTTAGTAGTTGTTAGGTTAGTTCTATGTAGTTGATATATTAGTTCTTTGTAGTTGATAGGTTAGTTCTCTGCAGTTGTTAGGTTAGTTCTATGTAGTTGCTAAAGTTGTCCGCATTTTAAGAGCTGACCTAATTTGATATACATTTTAATATCTTATATATATATAAGATATTATTTTTTATAGTATAATATCTTATAATAAAAATATACATTTTAATGGAAAAAAAAGTTATCAGTCCAGAACTGCTATAAAACCAAAGAAAACCCCATCTATGAAACTCATTGAAAAAGGTGAACAAAAAGACAGCATACAAAAAATAGTCGACACACTTCGAGAAAAGGCCAAAAAGCTACACCCAAAAACCCAAAAGTACACAAAAATCCACCATAGCAACCTGCAAATCATCAGTAGATAAGAAAAGGAACACACTTTATAAACCTCACCCCACCAAAAAGGGCACCTCCCAAATCCACAGACACTTTCTTCTCCAATCAGATAGACAAAAAAGCTTCACACCCATAACAATGGCAGCTCAAAAAGACGAAGAAAAACGGAGCGTTGAAGGCCAAGAACAAAAACTTCACGATGACAACGACGACGACCATCATTATCACAAGCTGCTGTCCTCGTACCTCGGCATCAGCTTCGCATTCTTCCTCGGGTCCCTCCCCAGAAGCTCAATCGCACTAATCTCGAACCTCCAGGCCAAGAACAAAGCCCTGGCCTCGAAGCTCATGCGGGCGGAGGAGCAGCTGGGCGAGCTGCTCTCGAGGCGGAAGGAGGACTCGAAGGCCAACGCTAGGGTTGTCGAGATCTTCGCGAGCCACCGGCACTCGTGGCAGCAGGAGGAGAAGCGGCTGCTGCTCCAGATCGACGAGTGCGGCGAGGAGATTGCGTATCTGAAAGGGAAAATCGAGGAATTCGAGGGCTTGGAGGCCGATTTGAAGGCGAGGGTAGAGGATTTGAGGAGGGAGGTCGGCGAGAGGGATGAGATGTTAAATTTCATGAGCAGAGGTGGTTGTGAAGCGG